CCTGCCACAACGTCCGACTATTTTTCTGTTGCAGTTTGGCCAGGGCTGGGTTTGAACTCGACACCCTGGGTATATGGGGCCTGCTCCCTACCCACTGAGCCAAAGGCACCGCCCATTCAATGCAATCTTTTGCTAGAAATCACCTCAGAGCCAGAGCCATCAATATAGTAGTAGCATTTCCCTATCACTAAAGGTGGATTAGAATTTCTTCCTTTCCAAATATCCCTTTGCATCTTAAGGAAAGGTTTCAAAGGCTTCAAATCCTGTAAATACTACCATGTAGTGTGAGTTACTTGGGGTTTTCAGTTTTTTTCCATTATTTAATAATCCCTAGTTAATCATTAGTGAACGAGAGCCTCGAGTCAAAAATAAGACGAACTTCCCCAAATAACTGGAGAAAATCTAAAGAAAGGAAAACACAACAAGTTTAGATCTAAATGGATTTATTTTTTTGAGACAGTGTCTCACTTTGTCACCCTCGTTAGTGTGCTGTGACATCACAGCTCACAGCAACCTCCAGCTCTTGGGCTTAGGCGATTCTCTTGCCTCAGCCTCTGGAGTAGCTGGGACCACATGCGCCTGCCACAACGCCTGGCTATTTTTTTGCTGCAGTTTGGCCGGGGCCGGGTTTGAACCGGTCACCCTCAGTAGGCCAGCGTCCTACCCACTGAGCCACAGGCGCCGTCCCTAAATAAAGTATTTTTAAATACAAGAAAAAAATGGAGTATTCTACATATGTTGATTGTGGTAGGCTTTTCATGTATGTTAAGCACATGCCACCTGCAAGTGCTGTTTTACCTCTTTACATGCTAAGCGTGAATTAAATACTACTATCTCCACTTTACAGATGAGATATGAGGCACTAAAAGCTTAAATAACTTGTAGAAGGTCATTCAGCTACAAAGCAGCACAAGCAGGATTTGAATCTATTAACAGTCACGCTTAGGAGTCTAGTCTTAATATACGGCACTGCTGCTCTGTTCTTCTAAATAAAAATCAGTACTTCAATAGCTTCACGGAAACATTCTGCGGCTCAAGTAATTCAGAGTAACACTTACATCCCGGGTCCTCCGTACCAATGAAGAGTATGCACGGCTCTGAGTTTCGAATTCCAGTTCTGACACAAAACTTTCAAGTTCTGTTACCTAATCTTTCTGGGCCTCAGTTTCCACAGGAGAAAAGTGGGATTGTATTATACCTGTGCGACCTAACTCATAGGGAATCTAAATAAACTGTGAGCGCACCTTCACACTTCACAGGTTTGATGTATCCTAAATGATAGTTAACGTTTCAATGAAATGAGGTCAGGTGAGACGGGGAAAGGGCTCTGAAAATCACAGCACCTCGCAGTTCACTGTTTTCACTACTTTTAAACACCCCAACAGGCCCCTATGTCTCGCCATCAGCCCAGCGAACTTGCTCACACAGGACGTGAGCTAAACTGAACTCAACTTCATGCCCTCTTCCCCTGCAGTGACCACGTACGAACAGCTGAGTACTAATTTTCAGAGCAGATAGTAAGGAGCAGAACAAGTCCAAAGGCCACAGAACTGCAGTCCAAGGCTAGGCTGACGCTTCTGCTGCACGGGCAACTTACGGGTAGAAACTCAGCTTCCGGTCTTTATTGTTTCGTCCCCGGCGGTTCTTACAGCAAATCGCTGCGCAATAACGAGGCATTGCTCGAGCGAGGAGCCGGGAGACTCAGGCCAGCGAGGGGCGCCGGCCACGGAGCCTCACTGTGGCGGCGTCCTAAAGTCCTGGTCGCCTGGTCCACTGCGCCTGCGCCGGAACCCTCCGGGGCAAAAGCCCCTGCCACCTTCCACTCACTTCCGCCTCCGCAGGCTTCAGCCCGGCCTTTTCGGGGGTTGGGGCCGGAAGTGACGCACAGGCTGCGCGGCAACAACAGTTTTCCACGTGCGCGTAGGGCGCCAGGGTCAGGTGGGGAGGCGAGAGCCAATGAGGAAGCGTTTCGTGTAGATCTTTTCCTGAGGCGGAGGCTTTTGCTGAGGCCGCCCGCCGCACGGAGCGCGCCGAGAGGGAGTCGGAGGCGGCGGCTACAGGAGGCGCGCGAGGTCGGTGTGTGAGCGGCGGTGGGGCGCGCGCCAGCTCCGGGAGGCCGCGGAGGCCGGGGTGAGGGGCTGAGCCCGAACAGCCGAACAGAGCCGGTGTCTAGCACAGCCGGCGCCTCCGCTCTGTGGAGAAGCCCCCGCAGCCTGAGGGTGCGGACGAGGGGCGAGGCCGGGGTCGCGGGGAGGGGAGCCCGAGCGTGCCGGGAGCCGAGGCCTGTCTTTGTGGGCCCACTCGGCCCGGGTGTCGCTCGCAGTCGCTTTAGTAGCTTGGAGCGGCATGTTCTGGAAGGTGATAGAAGGAAGGGGACAGCTGAGCCACGGGACAGTGCGTTTTCGGTGTCGGCTGGCTTTCTCCGGCGTGGGACGGCCCCCCCTAGGGCTGGACCGGGCCGCGAGCAGCCCCGACGGCGGGGCCTGGACGGACAGCGCGTGTGCCTGTCACCTTCGGGTTAAGGGGGGACGGGCCACCTGTGCCCACCGCCGGCGCTGGGGAGCGAGGCCCAGGCTGCTGGCCGCCGGGGGGGTGTGAAAGGTCAGCATCATATAAAAGTTAGTCTGTTAAAATATGGTCAGAGGTGCAACTTGAAGCCGTGGAAAAACGCTCTTTAAACCAGGCAGGTGCCTGTCAGGTTCAGATCCGCCCTTTAGGGAGCGACCTGCAGTGCGGTCAGGGTACACAGTGTGCGCTCCCTGTGCGTTCTTTACACTGGGAGGTTGTACTTGGTCCAGGGGTTCCCGTGACGATGAGTAACTCGCTGGACAGAAGTAATCCACCCGGTAATTAGGCTCAGAGACGGCCACGGGAGAGCAGGCAGGCAGTTTCCACAAACACAGTGGCTTTTCGTCAGCCTCGTTAAGTCATCAGAGGGCATTAAGGACTCCTGTAGTGCAGTACTCCAACAACAGGAGCCCGCCCTTTTGACTCCTAAACCCTTAAGCATGATCTTGTCAAGAATTCTAAGCTAGAACTTCTTTAATGGTTTAAAAGGAAGAGAAATATTTTAACTACCGAGAAGTTTGTAAGTAAGAATCTAACCTGAAGTACAGCCTATCAGAGTTCACTTTTCTGGAGGCCTTAGCAGACGTCTTCAGTTTTATCAATCATGAGCTGTAAACAGTTTATTTATGCATGCTTCTTAAACATTCGAGATTCTATATTTGAAATAAAGTATGTTCTATTTCTATTGTCAATATTAGTAATGTGCTATTAAATTCTCTTTTTGTAGTCCTTGGCTTGCCTTGCTGAAATGAGAGCTAACGTCCAGCTTTGTTAGGGAGAGAAGCTTACTACTGACCTAGATACACTGTTCTGTTTACCTTGGTAAAGTCTCCCCTTTTTTCTAGGAAGTTAAACTATTTTATTATCCCCTCAGAATATGAACCCTTGAAAGGAAGATCGGGATCCTTTACAATATCATCTGGACTCCCTCCCTTTTTTTTAACAACTTGCATATCATGAGTCTTCAAGATTATAAAAATCAGTTACTGAAAAGTTTGTTGTTTTTGTGTGTGGCTGAAGTATTAGTGGAAAGGTGAATGTAAGAAAGATTTTTCTCAATTTCATTGAATTCTATTTAGTGTCAACAAGGTCAAGCAATTTGGGAGTTATAAAATGTGTATAAATGAAATAACATGTGAACAGGTACAAGATAAACTGTATGTTTAACATTTTTATATTGTGTTAGGTTTATCTTCCTTGGAAACCAAAGTTTCATTGGGTTTCTTTTTAAAGGAAAAATTTTTTAAGATGAGCTCCATGGATAAAATTTGTTTCTTCTCTTTTTTAGGATATAAGAAATGGCTACTCCCCAGTCAGTTTTCATCTTTGCAATCTGCATTCTGATGATAACAGAATTAATTCTGGCCTCAAAAAGCTATTATGATATCTTAGGTGTGCCAAAATCAGCATCAGAGCGTCAAATCAAGAAAGCCTTTCACAAGTTGGCCATGAAGTACCACCCAGACAAAAATAAGAGCCCTGATGCTGAAGCAAAATTCAGAGAGATTGCAGAAGGTAAATAAGTGACTACCTCTGAGGTCTCATGGGTATTAACTAGTGAAGAGAATAATAGCTAAGAAATAAGTATAGGAGGAGGAGAATGCTAGCAAAGAAGTGTGAAGGTTTTGTGGAGATGGGTGGGAGAGTGGGATTTACATATACATATTGTGAGACTCTCTTAGATTATTTTCTCCTAACATACTTAAATTCTTCAACAAATAAATGAAGGATAGTAATTTTATTGGTATAGAGATCTAAAAATGTTGAAAATCTATTTCATTCTATTTGTAAAAATCACTGTTTTGTGACAAGGAATTTTAGCTACCCCAAGTTTTTATCAAATAACTTACAAAATACAGTGTTTTTCTATTCTGATACTAAAATGCCTTATTCTTGATGTATGTTTCAAAGTCATATTTGTCTTTAAAGGAAAAATTGAAGCAAATTTTGACTTAAAACTTGTTTGAAAATAGATTGTACCTCCTGATAATCAGTGTTTATTAGTGGGTAGATGTAATTAGAATTAAATATTTACTTCACTAGTAAGGAAGTGGAAAAAATCTTAGTTTTTATTAATTGGTTATATTTTACTGTTTAATTCTTTAATACAAGTTAATTGTTCCACACAAATAGGAAGATTAAAGAACTTCATAATTGTTAACATGTAGCAGTAGTGTTCATTTAATAAACATTTATTGGTATTTACTAGAGGTGGCATTGTGCTAGATGCTAATATAGAGTGAATAAGGCAAAAAGTCTATACCTTGCTTTATAACTTTTCATTTTAATTTAATGCTTATGTTCATAGCATTTTGCTTTTACTTTTGAAATTCTTCCCTAAAATAATAGTTGAATTCACTTATTTGAAGAAATTTGAATATATGTGATTTTGAATATTTTGCCTTCAGTTACTAAAATATTTCTATCTTTTTCAGCATATGAAACACTCTCAGATGCTAATAGGCGAAAAGAATATGATACACTTGGACACAGTACTTTTACTAATGGTAAAGGACAGAGAGGTAGTGGAAGTCCTTTTGAGCAGTCATTTAACTTCAATTTTGATGACTTATTTAAAGACTTTGGCTTTTTTGGTCAAAACCAAAACACTCGGTCTAAGAAGCAATTCGAAAATCATTTCCAGACACGTCAGGATGGTTCTAGTAGACAAAGGCATCATTTCCAGGAGTTTTCTTTTGGAGGTGGACTGTTTGATGACATGTTTGAAGATATGGAAAAAATGTTTTCTTTTAGTGGTTTTGACACCACCAATCGGCACACAGTACAGACTGAAAATAGATTCCATGGATCTAGCAAGCACTGCAGGACTGTCACTCAACGAAGAGGGAATATGGTTACTACATACACTGACTGTTCAGGACAGTAGTTCATTTTTTCTCTGTTCTCACTAAACCAAACTGGTTGACTCTTCCTCAGTATCTTTGATGTAAAACAATTTTCTGTGAACGATTTTGACAAGTGCATGATTTCACTTTAAACAATTTGATATAACTATTTGTTTTTGACAGATTCAGCAACATTCAACTTGTAGGCAAAATGCTGATTATTTCCTTATTAGGAAAAGGTTTTTTTTTTAAAGATATAATTCTGTCTAGTCCTTTTTCTCTACGTGCCCTTGAGCTGATTAATGTGGCCAGTCTTATTACCAAGAAAAGATTGGGTTTGTCTGGTACATATTTAAAAATTAAACTTCAAAAAGTTACAGTAGATTTAAAATGTGTGAATTTGAATGATTTTTGCAGTGAAACCTTTACTGATGTAAAATTGCATGCTCTGTAGCAGCTGTGACTTGGGTAACTAAATGTACATGAAATTGTGTATTTGAGTCATTCAGCAAAGGAGAACAGGATCTTGGTTAATAGCCACTGAAAGCTTTAGAAAGGGATGGTTTGATACTTAACACGGAACCATGCTTTTCTACCATAGAATTGGTATAAAAAATGATTTTATTGCTCATGGTTTTGGGGGCTGGAAAAAAGTAGAAAACGTATGAAACATTGCCAAGAGATTGACTGTTTTGTCCCTGGCTAAAAATGATTTTGTAGTGTTGAAATCATAGCTACTTATGCGTCTTTCACATTTTTCTTAGTTGTCTGCACTCTAGGTCTTTGTAAAGTTTGTGTATGTGTGTGTAGTTCCTCTTCTTTGTACTCATCTTTATCTAGAGATTGACTAATACCTCATTCTGTTTGTAAAAGCAGCCAGTAATTTCTGTGTAACCTTATGTGCAATATTTTTAAATCTTAAGAAATGTGTGCTTTGTTTTCACATAGACTTTTCTTTAGTTCTGCACTTTTCCACATCATACTTCATATGAGTATTAATCCTATGGATACATATTAAAACTAGCAAATGTCTCATACAACAGTGTATGTGAGTGGGAAATATAAATATTTACAACCTGATATTCTTTGTTGTTTCATTATTAAAAGTTTATTGAGCAGTGCCAGAGGCATGAAGGATCCATAGCACTGGGGCTATGCAGATCAAAGGCCATGTTCCTGGAGTTATTTTGGCTAGTCTGAAAACCCTGATAGAATCTTGTTTGATTGCTAGTTTGGTTATTTCTGTTGCTTTCATATCATCCTCATAAATTCTGGTAGCTTGAAGAATATTTTTTTTTTTTTTGAGACAAAGCCTCAAGGTGTCACCCTGGGTAGAGTACTGTGGCATCCCAGCTCACAGCAACCTCCAACTCCTGGGCTCAAGCGATTTTCCTGCTTCCACCTCCCAAGTAGCTGGGACTACAGGCGCCTGCCACAACTGACTATTTTTTGGTTGCAGCTGTCATTGTTTGGCAGGCCCAGGCTGGATTCAAACCCGCCAGCTCAGGTGTATGTGGCTGACACCTTAGCTGCTTGAGCTGCAGGTGCTGAGCCTGAAGGTTTTGTTGATTATGATTTTATTACATTTGGTTGGTAGGAGCAAATGTACCACCAGTTCTTTCCTCTTTAGGCCAGGTTGGGAAAAAGCATAGACTTTGCATGAAGCTGAGTTTGTTAATCTTTAATTTGAAGACTTAAGTAAATACTATATTTATGTACCCTACTTATTTCCTGGAATATCTTGAATTTTGAGTGTATAGTATATTAAGCAGAACAAATGAAGCCAAAACATAGAAAAGGTTTTCTCAGGGTCTGGTCATCTCTTTTTTGACCTTTTGGTTGTTGGGCAGAATTTTTGCAAGCAAAAATGGATTTTGAATCATTCAAACTTACGATACAAAGCAAATATCAATATAGTCTACAGGTATGTGTCTAAGGAGTTTGATATAAGCAATTAGAAACTAGGAAACAGTATATTTTCCTCTGACTTAAATTTTTTCTTCTTCATAGTTTTGTACAGATTGTACAAAGAAAATGAGAAACTTCTATAATTGAAGAAATAAATGAAATAGCTTAATCTTTATCCCTACACAAGTGACCACCTGTGACATTTATTAAAGTGATTTTATTTATATAGTTTTGTCCTGGGAAAACTAGTAATCTTCAGATTATGACATTTTTTGAACTAAGATCTCTAACTTCAATATTTCTGGGTTTACTGTGTCCTGGATGCAATGAACATGCAAATTGGCATGTGATGAAATTAGTTCCGTGAGTATTCATCATCATCCGAGGTCAGTTAAGAATTTGTATGTTCCTGGAGTAGTTTTTTAAATTTTCTGAAAGATTTTTTTTTTTAATATACTAGAGAAAAATGAGATAAAGCAGAATAAAGAGGATATTGGTACAAACAAGCAGTAAGTCTTTATAGAGCAGTGGTTCTCAACCTTCCTAATGCCTCGTGATGCTGTGACCCTTTAATACATTCCTCATGTTGTAGTGACCCCCAACCATAAGATTATTTTCCTTGCTACTTTATAACTGTAATTTTGCTATTATGAATCGTAATGTAAATACCTGATATGCAGGATGTATTTTTGTTGTTACAAAGGGGTCTCGACCCACAAGTTGAGAACCACTGCAAGGGACAACAGTGGAATAGGGAGACCATTTGGAAGCTATTTCAGTATTCCACGATGAGAAATCGTTGCAGCCTATGCACCACAGCAAGGTGGTAGTGGAAGTGGTGGGAAATGGTTGTATTTCAGATGTATTCTGCAAGTAGAGCTACCAGGAATTGTCTATGGATTACATGTAAACAAGAAAGAGGAAAGAGAATGATTGTATGCTTCATGTTCTGAGTAACTGGACAGATCAGGTTACCTTTAAGACAGTGAAGGCTGCAGTGAGAAGACATGTAGAAAGGAAAATCAGAAGTTCAGTTTGGGCCTGCTGAATTTAAAATTAGAGTTAGATGGTGGAGAGTATCTGGAATTTGGGAGAGACCTGAGCTGAAAATGTATATTTTGGAATTATAAAAATATAGGTGATATTTAAAACTTTGAAGCTAGATAAAATAATGGAGGGAATGTACATAGCTATAAAAACAAAGAACTGAGCCCTCAGATACTCCAAAAGTAAAAAATACAAGGAGAAAATGAGAAACCTGGGAATGTAACTGAGAAGCCAGTCAGTGAGTTAAGAGTTTTCTGTCTTGAAACAAAGTGAAATAAATGTATCAAGAAGTAGAAAATGATCAACCTCGTAAATTGCTGCCACTAAGTCCAGCAAGATGAGTACTGAAATTGGACTTTTTAAAGATGTCAAAAATGACCTTCACAAGACTGAGGGGTTTTTTTTGTTTTTTTGTAGAGACAGAATTTCACTTTATTGCCCTCTGTAGAGTGCCATGGCATCACCCAGCTCACAGCAACCTCCAACTCCTGGGCTTAGGCGATTCTCCTGCCTCAGCCTCCCGAGTAGCCGGGACTACAGGCACCTGCCACAAGGCCTGGCTACTTTTTTGCTATAGTTTGGCCGGGGTCAGGTTTGAACCCGCTACCCTCGGTATATGGGGCCGGTGCCCTACCCACTGAACCACAGGCATTGCCCTACAAGACTAATTTTTATCAAGTGGCAAGTGTGTACCTGACTGGAACAGGTTGAAAATAATGATAGCAAAATTAAATGCTCTTAAATTATTTGGATAAAAATTTGTAGTGAAAACATTTCTGGACAGAATTTTTAACATAGACATGTTAATAGAGTATAAGTTATGATTCCATTTCTGTAGCTACAGCTTATTCTTCAGAATGATGTTCTAGACTCTAGATTATCTAGAGGAATAAGTATGCTATGAAAAATCTTACGTTCAAATATCTGAAATCTAGATTAGGATTTAAACATTGTTAAATATGATTTTTTATAATTAAGTACTATGGTCTGAATGTTTATGTCCCCTTAAAATTCTTAAGTTGAAATTTTCACTCCCAAGGTGATGGTCTTAGGAGGTGGAGCCTTTGAGTGGTTATTAGGTCATGGGACAGAGTTCTCAAGAATGGGATTAATTAATACCCTTATAAAAGAGGTCAGGGAGACCACTCTCTTTTCATAACCACGTCAGATTAGAGTGAGATGTGTGAGGAGGGAGCCTGTTACCAGACGGTCTGCTGATGCCTTAATTTTGGACTTCTCAGACCACAGAACTATGGGAAAGAAATTTATTTTTTGGAAGCCTCCTAGTCTGTGGTATTTTGCTACAGGAGTCTAAATGGACCAAGACAATGGGCTTCTCAGAGTTCACAATATACTAATCTATATTAGGAATCTTTAGTAGAGATATCAAGTATTGTTTACCAAATTTACTGGACCATGGAAACATTTGTAACAAGTACTCTTAACCATATCCAAGTGTGCCATGAAAAAAGCTTGGTAAATACTGATCTAAATAAAACATGAATAAAATGTCATGATACTTCTTTGGAACACGTGCATGAACACACAAGCAAGGATGATAGCATATATTATGCTGATATTTGCATCGCCATTATCAAAAAATATGTATTTTAATTAACTGATTGAAAAAGATCCCGTCAGAGCCCATTATTGTTTAGTCCTCATTTCATTAATATACTTTTCTTCTGATCACTGTTCTAGCTACTTGAATAATAATATTGTTTCTTCAGGGCTATTTTACACCTACAATAGCCATTATCAAGCAATTATGAGAGGATACTTTATGTAAATGGAAACTTTATTCTCCTGAGAAAATAAAAGCTTGTCATTGTTACAGAGTTGTATTTTTAAAACAAGACAATATTCAAGGCCAGATGAATCAGACTGTGACTATTAAGGTAAGGGACAAATCACTCTTACAGTCTATTATGGCTTGGATGCTTGTTCTCTCCAAACCTCATGTTGAAATTTGATTCCCACTATTAGAGGTAGGGCTTGATGGGTGGTGCTAGAGTTACTGAGGGCAGATTCTGCAAAGGTGAGTGAGTTCTCTATTACTTCCCAAGAGAGCTGATTGTTAAAGAAAGCCTGCTGCCTTCCTGCTAGGTTTCCTTCATCTGCCATGAGTGGAAGCAGCTTGAGGCCTTCACCAAAAATGAAGGAGATGTCACCTTCATGCTGCTCGTATGGGTTACAGAACCATTAGCTAAATAAACCTGTTGTCTTTATAAATTACCCAGCTTCAGGTATTCTTTTACAGCAACACAAAATGGACTAAGACCCAGGCTAGTATTTTACTAATTGGACCAGTATTAGCAGTTAGTAATATCAAATAGGTTCTGACAGTTGAGTAGTGAATGAAGTATTTCCACTCAGTGAGGCACAGAATAAACATACTTATATAAGCACACAGACAAACATATTTTTGGAGAAATATCATTTGGCATTGCAAAATAATGGGGGGAATAGAAACGGATTAAAATACCAATAAGTGAACAATCACAGGATTTTTCTAGGATTAACTGATTTTTTTCTTTGATTTGCGTATACATCTAAGTCAAAAATTACCAATCTTGTTCCTAATAAAACTTTATTATAAACTTTTATAATAAATATTGTGGTAATTACCAATGAGATGGTCTTGTGTGAGAACACAAAGGATTCACCAAAAAATAAATCATCACAAAAGGGTGAGGAAAAAGGATAGAGGAGGGGAATGAAAGTGGAAGAATGGATGGCACTAAATCTAGAAGAGCAACGTGTCAAGCTTTGTTGGGAATAGTCGCAGAGAAACAAGCAGTCTTTGGTAGGGGAAGTGGAGCTGAAAGAAGTTCCCCTACAAGGTAGCAATAATTGCTTTAAAGGATTTCTGAAAAATAATACCAGATGCGGAAGTCAAATGGAGCAATGTCTTCAAAGATCTGAGGGGGAAATTCTTTTGAACTTAAAACTGAACGGATATATTAGTAACAGAGAAGGGGACCAAATAAAGGCATTTTGAAAATAGAAGAACTCAAAGATTACCGTCTACTTGTCTCTTATGAAAAAAATAATAACAGTTTTTATGCTATGTTATAATGTACAAGAACAATAAGAGAAACCAGATAATGGCCGCTAAGTATATA